CTAGACACAGGAGAACTATTGTCGTGAAAGTGTTGTACAGTCGATTACGAATTTAGATTGCAGAGAGTTTGTTCTGAGCGCTAAAGGCACTCACGATAGAGCACATTTTGCTTTATTCTAACAATGACAATGCGGAATTGAAAACTTTGCGTGAACAAAATCGTGACCGCCAACAAAATGAAGAACCTGCACCTACACCAGCTACAGCACCCTCTTCTGGCAACGTTGGTAGTGGTGTTTGACGTGGCCGTCGCTGACATGAGGCCGACTATCAGATTCGTGTTACTTGTTCCCTTTCCTCTTGTGTTCGTGTTTTAATGCCCTTTCCCACTCCTTGCCCCAGTGTGAGCTTGACTCACACGCAGGACTCACACGCAGATACTTGTGCTTTTGGCGAAAATTGTTTGGTTCTTGAAACCTATCCCCATACCTTGGCAGTAAAAGGCTTTGATCCTTCGCTCGGCAGTGTGCCTAACGTTAAAGTTACAAAAGTTGCAGTTGCTTATGATTGCCCTCTGTCCCTTGAAACGTATATCTTGATCTTTGATCAAGCATTGTACATCCCAACCATGAAAAGTAATCTCCTTTGTGTTGATCAACTTCGAGATTTTGGAATAATTGTGAATTATGTGCCCCTCCAACGTCTGAAACGTGAAGATCGCAATCAATATTCGCATTCCATTATTGATGAAAACTCGGCCTTACATATCCTGATGGACTTCCTGAAGCCTATCAGCTTCTTTGCTTGTCGCAAACCTGCGTTGTCTGAACTTGATGAATATGTCTCGGTGGAAATGACCAGTTCCGTCCCTTGGGAACCTTATGACCTGGAATCCTCTCGCATCGAACAAAATCTACGACGTGAATATCAAGGGGACCTAGCCACTCAACGAATCTATTCTGTTGACCGCTCTGATCCCAACTACCGCTCTATTTGCCCACTCGCTCTTCCTATCGCTTTAGGGGACGTGCTGACATTTGGGCCGATATCAAACAAGGCCCCTGTGTTTCTGCTGAAGGAAATAAGTATGTTGCTGTCTATGCTGCTGCCTGTCAATGGGCCCGTGGCTACGCTTTGAAGAAAGAATCTGAAGTGAGCAACT